CACGGCCACAGGTAAGTACCGGCCCGGTGGGCCTTGCAACCAACAAGTACCCCTGCGGGTCACACACACGTACCCAACCAGCAAGCACTCAGACAGGCATGCAAACCAGCAGGCACGCACACACACACAACCGGCAAGCACTCAGACGGGCATGCAAACAAGCAGGCACGCATACACACAGACTTGGGACCACAGCAGAATACGGGAATCACAGCAAGGCATTCATTCCATTGGCAAATCCTAGAAATCAGCAGTGTTCCCAGTCTGTGTTTTTGGCGGGTCATTACATTACTCCCCTCTCGAGAGCGAGGTCCCTTTGAGCGAGTAACTCAGTCAGAGTCGGTACAAAAGGCATCGTAGGCATAGATCAAAAGGACCGTGTTAGTGAGACCGAACGGAGTGAGTTTTGCAGCAAACTTAGCGGTCTGTCCATCAACAATCTGTCGTTTATATGCGTTCACAACACGTGGACCACTCTTCAGCAGCTCTTTCCGGTCGATCCAGAAGAATTCGTTCAACGGATGGTGGAGGAAGTGAACCTTGTACTGTTTGTTCCTCCCTCTCCCTTCGTGAGAAACGATTCTGTCAATCTCATGGCCACCGTCAATAGGACGAGGTATCATAGGGTCTCGGAAGGGAAAGGTCTCATCATCAATGTGTGGGAACAATTTGGAGGCATGGAAGACTGGATAGGTGCGCAGATGAGGAGGCACGTCAATCACATACGAAGGACCGAAATCATCCCCAATTACCTTCAGGATCTGCCAAGGGCCGTAGTACTGTGGAAGAAGCTTTCGTGACACGCCCTCTTCATCAGAAAACTCAGACATTTTGACCCAAACATAATCCCCAACTTTGAACTTTTCTTCCCTGCGCAGCTTGTTAGCATGTTTGATCATGGCATGCTGACGCTTGTTCATGGCTGCAGTAACAACTTTGAGCAAGCGTGCGTACTTGGCATTGTAGCCAGGCATGTCGGGCATCAGACCAGGTGACCGTTCTGGGAACAGGTAGGAAAGGGGATTGCGCATTGGCCATCCATACGGCAACTGGTTTGGTGTCACACCGGTTGCAGAATGGATGGAGTTGTTGTACAGCCCCTTTACTTTATGCAAGTCCTTATCCCATATGTTCTGATCTGGCACAATCAATGCGCGCAGCAGCTGGGTGACGGTCTGGTTGATTTCCTCAGCCAATCCATTGGCTTCGGGGTGTCAATCAGAAGTCATGTTCAGTTTGATGTCATAGATATGGGGAGTGAAGTCCTTCCAATCCTTGCTGATGAATCTGGTGTCCCGATCACTCACAAGAGTTCTCGGGGGCTCATACTGCAGAATGTACTGTTGGTGAAACTCTTCGATCACCAGTTCAGTCGGTGCATGAGGAGGTAGAGGAATCAGATTCAGAAACTTAGAGAAGCGATCCACAATGACCATGACTTGTGAATTCCCTGCCGTACTCACCTTCCCCATGTCCGTGAAATCGATAGAAACCGATTCACCAGGGCCATCAGGGATTGGGAGAGGTCTCAGCAAGCCATAAGGCTTATGCCTGTGGACCTTGGTTCTCTGACAGACTTGACATTCAGCAATAAATTTCTGAGCAGATCCCTTCATCCCCGACCAATCAAACTGCTGGAGAAGACTCCCATAAGTCTTCTCAAAGCCGAAATGCCCACTCCGACCATGTGCCAAATCCAGGAAATAAGTCCGGAGAGGCGCATGGTTAGGAACACACAAGCGATCAAATTTCCCGTACCGGCGGAATACAAGCCCATCGCATTCATGAAAATCAGGCTGGCTGTTGGGGTCAGCCTTGAGCTGCCCAAGGATGGGACTAAGGTCCGGATCCTTGGCGGTGTGTTCGATCAGATCCTCCTTCAGTTTCCCTCGGAGGTCGTACGAATCTACCGGGCAAGTCAAATACTCAGGATGGCGCGATAGAGCATTGGCAACACGATTATAGCAGCCTTTCTTATGCTTCAATTCAAAGTTGAAGACATCAATATCATGCAACCAGTGGGTCAGCGTTGGAGAAAGATCGGTTTGTGTCTTAATCCACTGCAAGGTCTGATGATCTGAGTAGACCTTGAAGTGGTGACCCGAGAGATAGTGTTTCCAATGCGTGAGCGCCTCGCGCAAGGCGTAGAGCTCCCGCATGTATGTGGAAGTGGCTACCTTGTGGTTGGGCATGCGTTTGCTGTAATATTCAAGTGGACGCAGGCCATCGCCATCATCTTGTTGCAGCACTGCACCAATCCCAAACTGGCTCGCGTCCGTAGTGACTACGAACGTGAGGTTGGGATCCGCAATGCGGAGCACAGGATGACTCACCAAAGCCTCTATCAAGGCTTGGAACGCAGTCTCACACTTTTCACACCACGCGTAGGCAACATTTTTCTAGTCAGGCGTGAGAGTGGATGAGCAATGACAGAGAACTTAGGCACAAACTTCCGGTAGTAAGAAGCCAAACCAAGAAAAGAACGCAGCTCGTGTAAGTTTGTCGGTTGAGGCCAGTTGCGGATGACCTCAACCTTGGTTGCCTCCGGCTCAAGGCCGCTCGCCGACAACCGGTGCCCAAGATAGATGACGCTGTCCCTGCCAAACTCAGATTTCTCCAAGTTGAGGTGCAATTGAGCATCTTTGAGGACTTGCAAGACCTCCTCAAGATGCTTGACGTGCTCCTCCATGGACTTGCTGAAAATCAGAATGTCATCAAGATACACAACCACGAACTTGTTAAGTTTGTGGCGGAGTACCTTGTCCATGAGGGACTGAAAGGTGGCTGGTGCGTTCGTAAGACCGAAGGGCATAACGATAAATTCGTACAGCCCATCGCGTGTCTTGAATGCGGTTTTGTGCTGGTCACTCGGATCGACTTCAATCTGGTGCTAGCCAGACTTTGAGGTCAATCTTGGAGAAGACCTTGCAACCACCGGCCGCATCCAACAGATCATCTATGCGAGGCAAAGGGTATGCATTCTTTCTAGTGATCCAGTTTAAGCTACGATAATCAATGCACATTCGGAGCTTGCCTCCTTTCTTTGGTACAAACAAGACGGGTGCGCCAAATTCAGACTCGCTAGGCCTAATCCATCCACGATCAATCATATCATCAATCTGTCTTCGCAGCTCCTCCAACTCGCCTTGTCCCATGCGGTAGACGCAGCCCTTTGGAGGAACACTCCCTTCTATTATCTCGATTTTGTGCTTGACTGGACGCTCGGGAACTCCGCGCGGTTCAGCTAACACTTCAGGAAACCGATCTAATAGATGGCGAATATTTGATGGGATTTCCGGTGGGGATCATCCTCATCAGGAGAGAGAAAATCAGATTGGGAATTTACAGCAATTACAACCGATTTCGAGGAATTCGGATCAGAATTAGATTGATCATTTACAGTAAAAGTAGGTGGAACAGAAGTAGTAGTAGTAGAGGTAGAGTTACCTTCAGAGGTAGAAAATGTAGCAAAAGTAGAAGGCACATGGAGAGGCTTTACAACAGCTATATGTACAAACTCAGCTTCCTTGCGCCTGCGCACTGACCTGCAGAATTTGTTAGCACTGAGAAGAGTCACAGGGGACTCGCGCGTCTTATCTAGCAAGACAGTACGCTCGTTCCCCTTGGCGTCAAGCACCACAAACTGGTTGTCCGCCCACGTGGTCCTTAGGCAATGAGCCTTTAGCCATCCCAAGCCAATGACCGCGTCGAAAGGACACTTGTCCAGGACATAGAAATTCAGCTCATGTGTGACAGTGCGATCTTTGTCAAAGGTGATGCGCACACCTTTGACAGCATGAGTGGAAGTGACAACCTCTTGGTTGCCCACCTGAGTCCGACAAGGGTTCTGCAGTTCCACTTGCTTCATACCCAGGCCCGCCTTACGAATCCCGTTTGGAGAGAGAAATTAGTGGTCGAACCACTGTCAATCAGCACACGGATATATCGACGGTTAATGAGCAGTTTGAAAAAAGTTAGCTCCACGCTCCCCTGAACACGGCGTTGCCGCTTGAGCTGCAGCCAGTGCTTCATGTGGGCGTGGAGGTCAACTTCTCTAGACTCCTCCCAAGGCTCAGTGTATACTACTTGGACTGCACCAGCCTTGGAATCAGCATCAGTTCGGGCTTCAAGAGCACACTGCTGATCAGATCCAGGCTCCTCGGAAGGGCCTGCAACTGATTGCTCAGCTTCCCTTGTTGTAGAGAGTGCTGATGACTCTTCTACGCCCCTTGCCTGTTTCCCTGAAGACGATAGCAATCATGCACAGCATGCCCAGGCTTTGAACAATGCAAGCATAAGCGCAGTTTGGACCTTCTTTCCCATTTTTTTTGGCTGATGCGGAGGGCTTCCCAAGGTTTGGTAGAAGCGTCCTCCGGTTTCTCAGGGATCTTAGCATTTTTGGAAAGGTGTAAGACAGTTCCCTTACCTGAACCACAGTTAGGCCCCTTATTTGAAGCAGTCTTTCTGAATGCATTAAGTTTTTCATCGTCATTTCTATCACACTTAATGGCTGATGCAGAGCAGCCCGTATCGGAGTCCGGCTCTAGATCGTCATCTAGAGACAGATCATCCGCATAGGACTGATCGTCAGCCTCCCGATGATCATGCAGTGCAAGCTGGTTGCTGCTTCCAAACCGCTTGTGTTGTGGTTTTCCACCTGCAGCGGGCGCCTTCTTGCGCCTGGCTAGGTGGCATGGTCCTTGAGTGCTAGCAGGGAGAGGTAATCTTTAGGGGCCACTCCCATGACTACATCCATACAAGATACGTCAGTCATCCCCAAATCCGGAGTGGTGAACAGACCAGTCAAGTGCTGTTCCAAAGCCTGCATGGATGACCTCCATGTTTGGCCCTTGAGGGCCTCAAGCTTCAGTCTAGCCTTGAGCGCAGCATGTTTATCCTGATACCGGTCAASGAGAAGTTCCTCAAGGGTGCGAACAGGGGTGACCTTCAGCCAATCAGTCAGGTCTATGCGTGCATAGCCTGCAGCAACAACTTGGAGCTCAATGTGGTTTCGTACGGCAGGCTCGGTATTAGTTCCCATGATCATACTTCGGTCCTCTTGTGGGGTCCGCATGACCTCGAAGTACGACCGCATGGAACTAATCCAAGAGGTGATGTCTGCCTTCCCGTCGTACTAGGACGGCAGCGTGGACGCCCGCTTGTCCACCATGGGACCGTTGTACTGAACGCCAGTAAGAACTGTGGCATTTTGGGCTGAAGTCCCTGCATTTGGGACTGCGATCAGTGCAGAACTGTTGGCGCTGCCGCTCGAGGAGCTGGCACCGGTTCCTGCACTTGCCACAGTTCCGCTGGCCCTTGGAACGAGGGCTGTGCTGGACTGAGAGACTGGGATTACAGCAGATCGAGGGTTAGGAGGGCGGGGGGCAGATGGTTGGGACTGTTCAAGGCTAATTACCTTAGCCTGCAGCTCTTGGTTCCACTGCTCAAGTGCTGTCACACGGGACTCGAGATCTTTCAAGTTCCGCAGTCGGACCAAGGCTGCGACATCAGCAGCTAGTTCCTCCCGGAACCGGTCAGCATTGGCTTCCGGGATCCGAAGGAGAGCCACTTGATCAGCAATGTCGGCGGCTCTAGCTGCTGCCGCTGCCTCCCTTTCCCTCTGCACGGCATCATCATATAGTTTTTGAAAGAATGGTTTCTGGCTCTCGTCTGCTGCATCCAGCATGACCTGCCATTGGTCAGATGTGATGACCGCTATGCTGGAGGAAGGGGTGTCAGTAGAACTCTCAAGAGGGGTCCGCTCTCCCCTGACGTTTGGACGAACACTCCTCTTGCCCCTTCTCACACTCGCAAACAGCACACCTACTCTCTCCCTTTCCTCTCTTTTCGCTGTCTGCGCACGCATCTCGATACCGGACATAGACAATTCAGATAGAAGAAACAAACAAAAAACCACTCAGAGAAGAAGGTAGAACTCCTGGCCGGAGCGGCGAATCATTTGGACTTAGAGTGTGGCACTCAGCAGAAGATAAAATAAATAAAAAAATAAAACAGCGGAGAGGTCTGATTCATAGAACGGGCCCGATGAGATCAGTTGGAGATCCCCTCTTGTCTAACCTAACAGGGGACAGGCAACACAACGAATCAGACGAAGAAGACTAATCTGCAGCAATGGAGATTTCGAGGGGTGCAGATGGTCGCCAAGTCAGACGCGGGGCAGTATGTGCTAACATGCGGTAAGGCCAGTCAAGATCCCCTTGAAAGGAATGCCCTTGCTGTCCGTATGTCCCCTAATTCCAGCACAGCAAAGAAATGCATTGGCGGCAAGAGATCTGGGCCCAAAAGGTCCTGTCCCGTTGGGCCTGGTCCCACTGGGTCTCGAGTGGTCCCAAGTAGGTCGTGGACAGACGCTTCGCGTCTGAATCCCACGGGCTCGTCAGCAGAGTTGCTCCGTCCAAGAAATCACAGGAAACACTTCTTTCGCAAACTCGTTTTGTAATACAATCTCACAAAGGTTCCGCTGTACACCGACTCATCAGTGCTTTGGTTCCGTTGTTTTCAGGTTGGGGACCAGGTCTAACGAGACAGGGGTACCAAGTCAGTCCCAAACTGTCTCTACCGTACTGAAAAGGAAAAGACAACTTTCAGCAAGAACTTGCCCCTACAGTCGTTCAAAATTGAAAAGACAATGCACCGTAGAAAGATATGTCATTTAGCACAGATACATCATCCATCCATCCATCAGGTGAGAAAGCAATCCACATGCTCACACACACAACCAAGACCGCAGAGAAGAGGAAGAGAACCCAGCACACCCCCAACAGGCCATGAAGCACCAAGCAACCTCCCATGGGCTTACCCAGGTTACACAGCACTTACCTGTGAGGCCCGGCCTCCAAAGATGGATTACGAGTCACTCCCCTCTCATATAAGTCCTCCTGACCCCTAGCTACCAGTACACGAAGTGTCCTAGCATGACTAAGAGGGCCTTCCTACACCCCTGTTGCAAAGCCGGATCCCCCGTCGATGCCTGAAGACCAAAGTAGCAACTTGCAGCAATCCGATGCAGGTATGGCAGCCTCCGATCAAGTCTCCCTCTTGAGGGGAAGCCCAAAAGTCACTCAATGTCTTCCTGAAGTCCAGATTCCAGGTGTGAGTACCTCTCACTCTCTACTCCCTCTCGCTTACTCCAAACAGCCTCCTTTGTGTCCCGCCACCCCATACATTCACTCAAACAACCTGGTTGGGTCCAATGTCGACCCTACATGACCTAACCAGGTGGGGGCAGCATCCCCATACCTCGCTGCCCCACTTAACCCTAACTTGCAACCCTAATCCGCGATTAGGTTAGCCCTAACCTAATTTGGAATTAGGGTTAGGGTGACTAACACCTCTCGCCAGCAAGTAAGTCCGCTCCGATACCAATTGTTACGGTCCTGGTCATTTCCCAAGTGCAAATTCACAATGAAAGACAATGCCACCCAATTGCGAAAGAAATGAAAGCACTTGCAAAGAGATAAAGACCAGAGGAGAG